CCGGAACGCCGCGTCTAGACGAACCGAGCCAGAACCCCGGATCCAGAACCCCCGAAGCCCCTCGCTGATCGCCCAAGCCGACGGCGCCGAACGACTCGATCGTTCCTCGCTTCACGAAACCGACGCCGCCCTTAAGCCTAGCTTAAGCCCGGTCGTAACAGATGTAAGCTGCTCGTATTATGAGGCCATATGGTAGATGGAACTCATAATGAGTATTCTCTGTAGATACAACACCACACAACTGTCAAAACTTCCGCATCTACTCGCAAGATTTGGTACGTTTAATAAAACCTCTGAGGGTCATATTCTCAAAAACTCATGATATAACTACTCTAGTGTTTCCAGGACACATATCACCCCTGACATTCATAGCAGGAGTCATGCTTGGCACGCGTCGCCACTCGAGAACGCCACAACTCACGCCAGACATCATCGGTGAGCGCGTGGGGCCGCGTTCTCGACGACTCCCGCATCGCTATCTGGGCCAACGTCTTTTTCTCTGACGTTCAACTGTAATACTGTAGGTACAATACAGATGAACAGGTTGGAGAATCTTGACTATAAGGGTCTAATATTTATACTAATACAAGTCCGTGAGAAATGCCACATCATCAAGGTCCACCACATCAGCCTAAAAGTTTGTATGCCCCACCGAGCCAGAGTCAAGCCGAGCCAAGACAGTACGTGTCAGAAAGCAATAATGCATCCGCAGTCTGTCCTACATGTTCAGAAAGATATTGCACATGTCCGTGGTAAGTATACGTGTCCACAAGAGAAGAAGACATGTTTGTAGAAATGTTTAAAGGGATTTTAGCGAGAAGGGATCAAGCCGGACTCCGGGAGTGCGCCCTCTAGCTAGGAACGTGATAAAGGAGAGGAAAAGAAAAAGATATACGAGATAGCAGAGAAGAAAAAGTGTCCATAACACTTAGTTTATCTCCATGCCCACCAGGCTCTTCAGGATATACTTGTTTTCTTGGCTCTCTCTAATGTTCAGCTCACCCCGCCAAACTCAAGTGAAGACTAGACTTTCAGTTGTTGAACTCTTAATCACACTTAAGCCATGCTCTCAATATTGGATTCATCCTTTGGATACCACCTTCGTAGTCTGAACTAACATAGTGTCTAGGGTTTTACGTTTGGCCTTAGCCACCCATCGAGGTAATGCAAGCCTAAGAGTCCGACAGTGGTCGCGACATTGGCCTTTTAATGGAGTTTTGAATGTACAGGGACAATTGATGATAGCACCACAGCTTATCAAGCAAGTCTGTCAGTCAGATTGGTGACCCAAGCTCTGCCTCCCTGTGTTGCGGGCCACAGAACACTCATTCCCCTTGCTCACATTCGTAATCATCAGCATTGTGGTTTTTCTTGATACATTTCATTTTACCATTAAGGAGGTACTATCCCCCTCATTTAGGACTCATGGAATATTTTGTTTACTTTACGATATGGGATCGTTTGGCGTTTCCATCTCCTGGACAATATCTTTGACATTTACTGCCACTTTTTGTACCTATACATGTGGACTTGTCTATAGCTTGCTGTCGCGACCACTGCGGACTTCTAAGCTGTATTGCTTAGATGAGCGGCTAAGGCCGAACGTAAAAACCCTAGACGCTGGGTTACGTGAGATCGGACTACGTTGGTAGTATCCGACAGGTGGTTCCTAGGTCAAGATCGCAGCTGGTGGTGTGATCAAGAGGTGGGCGACCGGAAGTCTAGTCTGCACTCGAGTTTGGCGGGGTGTGCCGAACGATGGAGAGAGAACCAAGATAATGAGTATATTCCAAGGAGCCTTGTGGGCATGGAGATAGACCGAGTAGGTGTAGTCGAAGTTGGAGTTGGTAACCGTACCAAGTGCAACAGTGGGCTGGTAGACAAGTGTCTTTGTACCGGGTGACTAAGAGGAGGATCAGGTTAAGGGAAAGTGAAGGTGGAAGTACCAAAAGTATATATACGTAGAAGGGGAAAGGACGCGTAAGCGTGGGAAAGGAGACGCGTAAGCGTGGGAACAAAGTATCGGTAAGCAAGGGAAAGGGATCAGTAAGCCAAGGAGAGGANACGTCAGCGCA